TTAACTTGGGGAGCTGTTAACCTTCGGCGTGAGTTTGGGCTGGTGGAGGACAGGGCTGCCAGAGCAAAGTCTGTCTGTTAGTAAACACTGAAGGACTGCTGAGAAACCCTCTTGGTTTTGTGTGTTATGGGTAGGCAACTAAAGGGCATTCATTTGTGTCTGCAGCCTCTGTGCTGTGAGAAACTTTTCACCACAGAAAATAGGCAAAAAGGGGGTAAAATATGGGAAAAAAGCTGACAGACCAAATGGAGTTTTGGTCTGTCAGCCTGACAAAGCACAGTGTCACAGGAGGACTACAGGGACGCAGTTCATACACACACATTTTCTGTCAAGTATCATGACAAAACAACAACAACAACAAACAAAACAAAACAAAACAAAACAAAACAAAACAAAACATTATTTAGGCCTGAAGCTTGCTGGAGGATTTTAATCAGTGGCGTAGCGACAGAGGAATAGCAAAGAGCAGCCCGGTGTCCTCTGCCCTCACTACCAGAGCGGGGAGGACGGAGACGTGGTGGCAGCGGCCGCCCCGCGCTGACCACCGTGAGGCGTCAGCCCTGTGCTGGGCCACAGGTTATTACGGCTGCCCTTGGGCAAAGGCGGGCTCAGGGCAAAGAGGAACGGCTGTGAAAAATGTGAAATGATGCAGACTTTGGGCTGTTATGGATCTCATTAGAAAGGGGAGAACTGAGGAGGGAGAAAGAGGAGGAAAGGGAGGGGGGATAATTCAAGCAGACAAGCAGCAGGAGGTCTATAGTCACATCAGCTATACCAGGTAAGGAAGTGGAACATGCCACCCACTGAAACGGTGGTTATTTGAGCATCATTGGGAAACAGATGATTAATTCAGGCCTGTAAGGAGATTATGGTGTATGTGTACAGCAACAGCCGCCTGCCCCCGAAGAGCAGACGTTGGCTGAGCTGCGATTTGCTCGGCCAAGCCGGGGCTGGGGCAGCGCAGAGAAGAGCCCAGTGCCCTGCAGGAGCATCACCTCCCCTTCCAGCACAGGCCACCTTCAGCTGGGCTTGGGTGTGGGTGCAGGGGCCGCCTCCCACACCAGGCACATACACAGCTCTGCTGTGTTTGCTGCTTGAGGCAAGGCACTGAGATGCAGGGCGGGCTGTAACAGATGTCCCTTTGGTGTGGCTCTGCCCAGGAGCAGCCCCCTTTGGGGCCTGCTAAGCTCCAACCCCACCACGCCATCCTACCAGCCTACAAACCCTGCCCGCCTGGCCTTTATGCCACCTGAGTACAGCAACTACAGGCCAGCAGCTTCGCTGCAATCACATCAGCAGGTTCCCCATCCGCATGGTGAACAATCTCTCTGTTCGTATTTTCTTCTCTTTCATATCGCTCAGTTTAGGAAATGTTTGTTTAGAAAAGCCCCCCAGCCCTCAGAAGCACATGTTTTACATCTGCAACCCGTTTCCCAGATGTAGCAATCCACCCGGGCCCAGTTGCAAAATAAGATCTTCTTGCCCTTGGCAGCTCTGCTCTGTGTCACAAGATCCCTGACTTCTAATGGGTTTTTAGTTCTGAAGAAGTGTTTGCTCAGCCAATGCACAGAACTCCTGCTCTTATTTATTTTTTTCACTTGAAGTGTTGCAACTGCTGGGAGAGTATTTTTATTTTTTTAAAATGATTCATCAGTAAATTTTAAACAACCTTTACTGCAGAATACAGCTTGTTTGATTTCATAAGCAGACAAATAACTTGAATCACAGTTCAAACGCAACTATTAATGCCACTCACCCTCCCTGATGCAAATCACACGCACACAAAAGAAAAAAAAAACAAAAACTTTCACCAGTCTGTAACACACACCCCCCCCCCCCACCTCCTGCCCCTTTGTTGTTCTCTCACTGGAACCATGAGCTTTCATCCTGGAAACACAGGCACTGTACTGTCTGCACAGGTGAACTCTTGCTTCTGAGGACAAAGAAACAACAGGATGACTCAAAGATAGCCAATGTGTGCTCAGTAGTGGGTGTAGCCAAACTCAAAGATGCTTTCAGCTGTTATCTGTTACTATAACCTCAACATGCTGCCTTATGCAGTGAGATACATGGCTAACAGCTTCTACATATATATTGCACCAAATAGAAGGGTCAGCAAAATAAATAGCAATGCACTATTTAATCTACTGAAGTCTTGTCTCTACACAACTTGAAATATGTGAGCAAGAATTTTTTTTTTTTCAGAAGCTCATACAACAGTGCTGGACTCAGCTCCGGGTCCCAAGGAATAGAGTTTTGCTCATAGATGTTTTTGGAAAACTAACTTAACTTAGCAGAAGATCATTTCTAAAGATGTCATAAAGGTATTCTAAAGGTTAAATAACATTTGCACCCCTCCTTATGGGTAAAGGGCAAGCCATGCTGTGATGGAGTTTGCATATATATGTGCATGTATATATGTGCATATATATATATATATATATAAATATGTCAGGATTCAAACTCTGTTTTGAACAAAGGCTTACTTTGGCCCTGCCATTGTCTTTGCTTGAGCTGGAAGGCTCTGAAGCCTACTTGAGCAAGAAGGGCAGTTAAGCTATGCTATTTACTACAAAAATATGGAAATCTGAGCATGCAAAAACCATGTATTACTTCATTAAAAACTGAAAAATCTGTTTTCTACAATAAAGTAAAATAACCAAGCAATCAGATTTAGACGTAACACAAGCACGGGATAAACTTGCTTTCGTTGTGATTGTTTTCCTGTTTAGACTACCTGGGATTTGTAAATAGAGACCTACACATGTCCCACTATGGCTTAACCTTAGCACTACGGTGTCACATGCATGAAGAACCCTCAGCTAACACAGGTGTCCACTTAATTACATTTAACAGGCACAAAAAACATCTAGTGGAAGTTTCCAACTTTCTGACAAGGCATCTGCCCATCTCTGTTTACCTGGAGGTCAGAGATCCTCCAGGTATTTTCCAGCTGGTAAGAAACAAGATTGGAATTCACATTTTCAAATTTCTTCTGGTAATCTAATTGCTGGTAGTTGGTGTTTTTACAGTCCCTCTGCTTCATCAAAAATTAATGGGTTGTTACTATGAACATTTTGAATACTAAATCTTTACTACTTTGATTATATCCATTTAAAAAATAATAGTTTTTTATTCAGTATCATGCACCTCTCAAAAATGCCTTTTTTATTCTTACTTTTCCCCCCAATCTAGAAAGATAATTTTTTCATCCCTAAAAGAATAAAGCCAAGAAAAGGTTAAAAGGAAAAAAAGAGTTTATCTGAGATGACAGCTTATAGGAGCATGAATAAAAGAAAGGATAGCAGGCCATCTTACATTTTTCTCAAGATGGAAATATTATGTTTGATCTCATATGTAGAGCATCCCCATCCCTTTGTGAGATGAAGTGATGGATTATTGAAGAGACTGAGTAAGTCTGTACTGAATGACTTCATTCTCCACCTCCGTCAGTCGAAAGGGCTCATATTAGATGCACTATTGACAATGTTCAGTAATTGCTGAACATTGAATTAAACCAAATAAAAAACAAATTCCTCCCCTAAATACTGCATGAGTCTTTGCTACCAATTTCTTACTTCATTCAAAGTGTTCAAACTCAAGCAACTAATGTTTTGTATTTACATTCTATAAACCCTATTGATTTAGCATCCTAAAAATAATCAAAGGATCACAACCACACAATTTAACCTTCCTTGGAGTAAGTAGAATTTCCAGGCACATTTCACTAGCACTTTAATATTATATAACACACACCTACATGTATGACTTGTGCTAGTAGGGAAGTCTGATGCAAAACATTTCTTTGAATTTATTTACACTGAACTGCTTTAATGCAATTAAGGATAGTCCTACACCTGCCATGATATAGGAGAAAATAAATCACTGCAATAGTCCTATGCTACAATATTCAGAAATTTTAAGAGAAGAAATATTTAGTCTTTAAAATAAATAAAGACACAGATAACCTTTGTGCTTGTAATCATAACTGTTAAGATCAATATGACCATTTTCAGTTTAATCTTCAGGATATAACATCAAGGACTTATTGCTGAGATAGGCAGGGAAGACAATTTCAGAGCACATAGTGCTCATGGAAGCACAAAAATACGTGGAGGACAGGAAGGTGACCAGGAACCATCCGCATTGTCTTAAGGATGGACCAGATCTGACCAACATCATTGCCACGGTGATGAACCAACTGCTTGTGGGGAGTGGTTGATGCAATACGCTTTAGTTTTAGTGACCCTTGAAACCACTTTCCATAGCAGTCTGTGGCCTATTACAGTTGGATAAATGGACTATTAGATGCACTGAAGATTGGTAGTGCTTCCAAGCTACTGGTACTAAATAGCTGGTACTAATTAATATAGCACAATGTCCAACAAGCACAGTACCCTGAAGATCAATACAGAAGCTGATATTGTTCAGTATCTCTGTCATTAACCAATCCACATCACATCCTACTTATTGACTTGGGTGGGGGTTTTAGCTCCACTAATGCAAGAGAAAACTGTTTCTGTGGTTAGAGGAACTACAGAGGTTCCTTCCAGACAGAGCAGAATTAACAGGTTGAATGCCTGTGCTCACAGTGTGCTCTGCTCTCCGGATGATCAAGATAACGAAACAGAAAGCACACCCCTGCTCCCTACAATTCCACTGAAAGTTAGTGTTGAAGTGTGCACGGACCAACTCTCCCTTTAAAAGCACTTCATTTGCGTAAGATCCATGATTAGCTCAAAATAGGCTAGAGCTAATAGTAGTAGGAATACATCTTAACTCTACTTTGGAAAGATTAGTGAAAGGAAAAAAAAATCAAATGTTTAGAGACAATCTTCCAAGAACCTAGTGAATCAGATTCAACCCATACCTTACAAGTTTTTAAGATCAACTAAGATCTCTGGGCTTTTCTCTCTGGTTCTATTCGATAGAGGTAAAAAAAAAAAAAAAAAGCATAGGAACCTAAAACAAGACAAGACAGCACAAAAATAACAAGTAACTCAACAAAACAATTGAAAGCTTTTATTGTGATACCTCAAGTAGATACAATATAGTGAAACAACAAATGATGTACAGTATTGCTAGGACAAAACAGCAACACAGCCATGTCACCTGTAAAAGAAAGCATTGTAAAGAGTTTAAGAAACAATGAGGCACAACTCAACTGCCATTTTTGACTCCTGCTTTAGGCCTTAAACCGTTTGTAACAGTCCTTTTAAGAGAAACCTCTGAAGTGTCTGTTCCTTTTGCAGTGTTTATACTGCTGGTTGGCTTAACATGAGTCTAAATGAAGTACAATAAAGTGTCCAAAAGTTAAACAATTTGACAGCTTCTTCCACTTATCTCCATTGTCAAAGAATGGAGATGTGAGAAATTTAGTCTGTGACTCCCTAGGCCACTGATGCTGCCATCGGACTGCTGCGATGAGCATGCAGAAAAATCTCTTTACGAGCATTACTCAGAGGGAGGCCTCAAGTCCGCCAAAAACAGGACTTGGCATCAACAAACTCTTGCACTACCTTGATAGACCAATAAGAAATACGGATGACCATTTGGTTTATGGGTGTACCGATGACCTTGTCAGCACCTCTGAGACCAGATTTTAATTTAAAGAAATTTCATAAATTGTATTTCCTCTCCTCTCCCACAGATTCCTAAAGGCTACAGAAGCAGGCGGGGCACGCCACTCAGGTTGACAGTTATATTAGGCCTTGCTAGGGGGAAACTAGACTGAATTGTAACAAACTTCATTAATACAGTTTGCCATTGTATAGTTTACAGCGAATGAGGGGAAATGGCCCTTTTTTGCTGGTAGATAAAATTTAATTACTAGATTGCTAAGAGTACACAGCAATAGTGTACTCTTAGCTGACGTGTCAGCAAGCCCTCACTAATTCTGCAGCTTATTTCACAGCAAGTCTGCAATTAACAGAATTGTAAAAGATGGCAGCATTGTCTTTTATTAATCAAAAAGGTGGTTAGAGCGACCGGCCAAAGAGTAATTCGACTGTCTGGAAGTAGACTTAGTTCTGGAATACCACTGTTACATCCATTCTTTTGGACCAAGACAGAGAATGTGTGGTCAGATTACCAGAGTCACATAAAATTATGATTAATTACTTTAGGACAGGTGTGGCTTTAGAGGTTCAGAGGAAGAAAGCTTTCAATACATGTACATTTCTGCTAGCAAATTCCTATGCATCCCAATGAACATTTCTTCTAAGCCAGCTCATAGTCAGTTCATTTGGTCCAAGAAAGAGCCAGCAAGAAACAAAGGTTCACAAAAGCTTTTTGTTACAGTTGTAAAAAACAAAATACAAAATAAATGTTAAGACCAACAATAAAAATAACCAGTACAAGTAACAAAAGTGCTCAAGTTGGAGGGGAAGTAAACTTGCCCAGAGCAAACACATACAAACTTTAAATATAATCTTTAATATATTACAAAAATTGGTTAGAGGGAAAATGCTTTAGTAAAATTTTTTTTCAAGTAAGTTTGTTTTTCTTTCAAATGACTGCTGGAGGGTTCAGTGACCAGACTGACCTCTTCACATCAGACAGCAGCCATCGCTATCTGGATTCTACTTTCACCAAAACCAACAAGAATTCTCTACATCTTTACAAGGGGAAAAAATAATCATTGACACTGCCAAGCAACACAAGAAGAAAATTCACCTATTCCCTCAATAGAATGAGCCTAAAGAACTGTTACATGGCAGCATGAAATTGCAATTCTGTATTAGTTCTACTCCTTCTAAGCATCCACTCTTAAAAGACCAAAAAGAATATTGCTTTGTTTGGTTCTCTTAAAAGCCATAAACATCACATATAGATCATTAACTCTTCATGCCAGCAGTCTGAAGCTCTATGCGCTAAGCACTTGATGAAGTCCCAACCTTTGGCATCAAAGTTAATTAAGGTTTTGGTGAAAATGTCCAGTTTAAAATACAAACAATGCACTGAAGAAAGAGGTTGAATTTCTAAGTAAGAATCAGACTGTTACAGACAGCATTAACTAAGAGAGAGCCAAACCCCCAATTTTATAGAGAAAAGTATTTAATACTTTACATAGTTTCTTTAATTTCAACTCTCTACTGAAAAGCAGCTATTACTTTTGTCTTCAGTCCAGTGTACTTCTTCAACAAGCCTGTAGTCAGGAAATATGAAAAGCCAAAAGATACACAAACTTTACATAAACGTTTTCACAAGTGTTAACATTACAACTGGACTTTGAAGCCAGCACAAACTTTTGTTGATAGAAGTTTCAGTGCCTTTTTTTTGTCAGCAACATACATTACAATGGAGGAAAATAAATCTCAAGAATTCCAGGTCAAAAAGATCAGAAGACAGGCAACACCAAAGCCCATCTTGCATCAATGACATTGTTAAAAACAAGACTTTGAAGCTTGATCTTATTTGTGAACATAAAGTGTAAGCCACAAAAATCCAGATTGAACACAACTGTACCACCTCAGGTCTCTGGACTGAAACCCAACAGCTTTAACCACTTCTCTAATTTTTACATATTTAATTCATACGTATAGATCATTACAACATCTGGAATGCAGTTTAGCCAGCCTGCATCAGAGAATGCTTACACGTGGGAGAACTCGTCTCACTCCTAAGAGACTGGAAAGCTGGTTTTAAAGATCTGTATTGCCCCTACCCATTGGCATATTTTTTTATGCATGACAAAATTTCTAAAGTGCAGTAGAATTCAGAAAGCCTATTGGAGATTCACAAAAACATAACAGCAGCAATGGCACCTATGACTAACCTTTGTAGGTGCCATGATATTAGAATTGTTTTTGAAAGAAAATGATTTTGCATTGCAAGGCTTTCATACTGTTCAGTTATAGTACTGATGTAGTGTTAAGGATTTTTTTTCCCAAGCATCTTGTTCTCAAGCATTAAATGGATTAAGATACAAAAGGTCTTCAGAAACTGTTTAATTTGAAAATAAAGTTAGCAAATTTTTGTAGAGCATTTCGTTCAAAGATGCTGAGAATGTGCATGCACAAATACCAACAGCTAACATTGTACATACACCTTTTAAATGATTCTCTCGTTAACTCATTCCAGTTAAGAAATAGTGGGAGATCAAAAGAGAAGGTAAGTTTCATATAAATTTTTGTTATAAAAATGTATTTGGGGATGATTTAGCCAGCAAACCAATAAACCCCTTCCCCCCCACCCTCAAATTTTAAAAACTATCTTGTTATTTTATGAAAAACTTAGTCAAACTTCCCTTCCCTCTTATTACCCCTCCTTTTTCTATGTGTACTATATTAATTTTCATCTCATAGGCTCTGACCGTTTCTCACAAAAATAAATATTTTTGTTCAAATGTAGCAGAAGCAGAATACCTCAGCAAGTTTCCTTAATATCAACCTCTTTGTCCAGTGCATTAGGACTATACAGTTACATGGAACCAGCCATAAAACTTCACTGATGCACAAGTCCCTGTTACTGGCAAAAGGTACAGTACCAAAACTTTTTTTTTTTGAATACACCAACTAATTATTTTATTTTTTTTTCCAAAATAGAAGATGTATATATTTTTCTGTCTTTTTATCTTGCAAGCTATACTTTTATAAATTTATTATCCTGGAAAATCCTTAGGGGATGTGTTGGTCTTAATTGAACATATTCTATAGCATTATTAATTTAAAATTCTTCACGGGTATTTCATTACGGTATCAAGCCTCTAGCATAACTCGTCCTAAAAACTTAAGATCTGCTAATTTCAGTCAGTACAATTGAAATATTTTTAAACTGAGCACTGTACCTTTAACCAAATTCACTTACAAGATGTACACAGGTTGTGGTACACTCAAATTTAAAAAAGAGAATTTAAGAACTACAATACTGCATCCCCTTCACTGCCAAATACATCAGAAATTGCTACATATAAGAAAGCACCCCATCCCATACATTCTTTCAGACTGCTCAGATATAGAACTTATACAGGATTGGAGTGTGGGTGTTTAGGCAAGAAGCATGCACAGCGGAAGGTAGCATTAAAGGCATAGGTCAGAGATAGATGCTAACCAGTAAAATCCATTTTCAATTAGTGAACTGTTTCTCTAGTTTGAGAGAGTTTAGAAAAAGGTCATCCAAAATGTTCCAAAACAACTGTTCACACAATAATACACATACAAAAAGAGGGAACTTACACAAGGAGAAAAGGCAAACATGGCCTGAAATAGCCACTTACACTACACTACTCATTTGTGAGGTTTCAGAGTTCAGTGATATTCTCAGGGCCACTCTAGCCAAGCTCTTCCTTTACTTTGCGTTAGTCTTTGTAAAGCATGTTCCACAGAGTATTGTCCAAACAGAAGGAAAAGGGTTATGATTCACTCCCAGCCATTGTCTTTTATCATGTGGGCAAGTTCAATGATAAATTTTCCTTCTTTGTATTTCTGACTGCTCTCGAAAGCATGTTCCTAGAAGAGAAAAATCAAGAAATAAGTTGGGGAAGTAAAGTATTTTAAACATCAACCTTACATTGAAATGACAAATTAGAGGCATTAACATTTGTATTTTTTAAGTTGTTCGTGTTCTGTGTGTATTCTCTCTTTCCTGGGTGAGCTACAAGTTTTCTAATGGATGACGATTTTGGTCTCTGAATTGCCTATATGTAGTCCACAATACGAAACAAAATCATAAATGCATTAAATATAGGATTCACTTAAATATTTTTTGTAACTATCCCAGACAGTCTTTAGAGTGCCTAACAACATACATGTACAGCATTTAAAGGAAGAGCCACATTGTTTTTTTTTTGAAAACCAGCATTAAAATTGATACACTCCTGATTCAAGGTCTAATATCAGATTTTTTTATGTACTACAATGCAGTTGCTGGGGCCAAACCACTAAAGAAATTCTGATCTCAGTTTTTCTTGCTCTTCTTTTGTATTTATTTCTAGACATAACTGTATGTCTTAAAGTCACAATGTGAGTGACTTTAAGCACTAATAGCACACCAGAAAATATATCGAATCAACAAAAATCCTACATATACCACTGAGAATATAAATGTTAATCACACAGCACAGTTGCAAGCATTACACACAACCATGCAAGTGCACAGACTACTTTTCAAACATCAGAATCTACTTCACAGTAGTAGTAAGCAGTGAAAATATGCTCAGTACCATTCATCATAGTTTTTTGCTATATGAAACAATTTTTGAAACCAAGAAAATTAAGACCCGTTTTGTGAATTCCTTACATCTGGTTTAGTGTACATGGTTGGTAACGTCAGAAAAAGATACTACAAAAGTATTAGCTATAATAGCATCTATGTTTCATGCTAACTTTGTTGTCTTCAAAATAAAGTTATTAACTGCTACAATGCTCCAACAGATACAAGAAAGCAAAACAACATTACTGCCTGATGTATGCCAAAGCACTAGAGCTAACACCAACTAAACCATCACTACCACTGGGCCTACTCAAATAGCTGTACTTCAGCCTATAAACATTTATCAAAAATGTAAGTATATTGCTTACATATTTCCATCCAAGAGTGGTTTTACAGTTTTCACAATAGATATCTGCCACAGCATGTAAACCTGTCAGAAGAACTCTCTCCTCTGCTGGACCACAGCCCACATTTACCCTGGGGGATGGGGAAGAGAGAGAGAAATGACTCAACAATTAACTGCATGAGACTGCTTTCTTTCTTACCTGCCACCGACCTTTACTCCAGAACACAAAAAAATAATAATTTAAAAAATCAAATATAGGTGCCGAACTTATACACCGCAGTAAAAGTAACTTATTTAGTTACACTTAGCTGAAGGATGAAAGAAAAAAGGGGGATTCTTTTTGTTTTTCAAGTTATTAAGACTACACATCACACTGTTGGTTATGCCCACTGGCTCCCACCACCAAAGACACACTAAGTAGTTAAACTTTCAGGGAACAGAACACTAAGCAGTAACTGGAAGCCTCTTCAGTTTTGGGCTTTTCTTCAAAAACAATTTGTGACCTCTACATGTTCGTACCAGTACATCAGCACCAACAGCTGAATTTAGAACCAACTCCAAAATAGCAATAGGGAAAAAGCCTCGTAAACATTTCTTTGCTACAGAGCAGACTAAGCCATGATGAACAAACAGCAAGATAAAAACAAATTATCCCATGAAGTACTGCATCAAAATATTTTCTTCATGAATAAGAATCTATGCAGAAAAGATCAGGCAAGGTTAAACAATGTTTTTGATGGTGTTACAGAAGGACAAAATGTTGCCATTTTTGCTCTTTTATTACCAGTTTCTTAGTACTGCAATTACACTGGAAATCCCAAGTCTTCATTGGGCAACTACATATAAAATGAATCTCAAGGATCTGCAATCAAATCCTTTGCAGTTATAGTTCCCTTATCCTGGTCTAAAATAGACCAAGACACTTAACTTCATTTCTTTTTCCAAAAATGCTGCAACACAATCAACTGCTGTAAAAATAAAGACAAAAATTCAATCTTGTGTATAAGCTTAAAATACATCCATTAGCAAATTCAAAGAACGAGCCTTATATTATGGCAAGGGGGTGCCTAAAACTGCAAAATTGCAAAAGGATCTTTTGCATCTAGCAGGATCACAATATTCAAGGTCACTTAAGATATTCTGAGGATACTGGTACACTACCATGTAAATTTATCTAACTATCACATGGAAAAATTCTCTTTTAGACTACAGCAAGGTTGTCTAAAGCAAACTTACAGTCGTGAAATGCTTTGACTTCTGTAATATCTCGGAGTGGCAACTTTTGCTCAAGATAGTTAGCATTACATACAGAAGAGGAATTTTTCATTAACACCCTCCCCTAAACTTTGAGCTATTAGCAGAATTATTTAAAGTATAGTAAACTAATATCTGTGTGTAGGTACTTAAAAAAAATCATCTCAGTGGCTCTTTAATAACTATTGCTGGTGAGTAAAAACACTGCTAAAAGAAGAGTTCAAAGTGCCTTACATAGATTTCTAGTGAATTCTGCTTACAGAGCATACCAAAAAATTACACTCTTAGGTAGTGTGCAAAACTGTAGTAAGATACTTACACAGAATTAAAGAGGTAGGCTCGTCCCTGGCTTCCCTGGAAGGACTGCATTTCAAAAAAAAAAAAAAGAAAGAAAATATTGCACTTATTAAAAAAAACGACAACAAAAAACAGTTAAATAATGGTGCATCAACAAGTATATAAACTTAATACAATAAATTATTTAGAACAAGTTACAATAAGTCAAACATTTATATAAATTCTTTCTTTATTGTAAAGCCTCTTCTGCACCCAAATTTTCACCTCCTTCAGATTTTAGCAACTGTCTTAGGTATTGTTCAAAATGAGGCCCACAAGGCAAACAAAGCATGCTCATAACTTGTCTCTCTCCAACATACCAATTCTCATGTTCCTAGATATCCTTTATACTAAGTAAAATAGTCTGCTCTTAACTCAAAAGGTATTATTTCGAACTCCTTTCTTCTCTCCTGCTACACCCAAAAGACGATTTGTTTCATTTTGTCATTTGATGTAGACCAATACAATTCTGGATCACGCATAAAACCTGAACTCTCTATTCAGGAAACACATGAAAAATGTATAAGCTTTGCTTTATATTAATAAACTGTTCCTCACCAACTGTTATCACCATGTGCTTTTATTTCTCTCACATTCCTGATAGACTGTGGACAAAAGATGACTGAAAACATTCTTGCTTGGGTCTAAGTTGATGTGTTACTTCAGAGCAGTAGCACATTTTGAAGTAAAATCCCTAATTAACCACACTTACCAAGGGTTGGGTTGGTTTGAAGAGCTGTTTCAGTGCATGTGAACTACATCTTTGTTCCTCTGCACCAAACTAAACCAGCAGCTCTTCTACTGTGCACTCTGCAAATGCTAATAATAAAGATACAGAGGCTGGCACCCATTACCAGATAGCCCTGAGCTACAAGCATGCCTGCAGAACTTGCAAGCAGACTAGACGCAAGCATAGGTAAAACATTCAAATCTTACGTAACACATCACTGTTTTATCTGTTGATTTGTTCCTTCTGTATTAAATTACTCGATAATTTAGACATAGCAATAATTTCCCAAAGAATATCACACTAGAGATTTTCTTTCTTTCTGCAGTACTGAGCTCCATTGAAAAGATCTCTAAACCTTCCTTATTTTTTCCCCCACAATTTTCCTTACCTAACCTACTTTCAGTGAAACTTAGTCGTTTTTTGCACATTTGTTCTCAAATATTTTAAGAATCCTTTAAGTTCTAGTATTGAAGATCAAAGACCAACTTTTCTGAAAGCTGCATTAGATCAACATGGAAGAGTTTTGCAAAGAAAATCTCAGCTTGAATATTTTTGAATACTTTCTTTGGAATGGTTTTACTAACATTAGGCATGAAAACAGGCCGAAGGCCCTTGCTGCAATGGATGCCTCTTCTGACATGTATTTATAGTTATATAATCAGAAGTCACTTGATGCCAAAACAGATATTGTGCCAACCTAATGATTAGCAATGGAACATCAATACCAGTAATACAGAATCACAGAATCATTAAGGTTGGAAAAGACCTTCAAGATATCTGGTCCAACCATCACCCTACTACCAATGTCAACCATGTCCCCAAGCACCACATCCAAGCTTTCCTTGAACACCCCCAGGGACGGTGACTCCACCACTTCCCTGGGCAACCCGTCCCAGTGCCTGACTGCTCTTTCTGAAAAGAAATGTCTCCTCATTTCCAACCTGGACCTCCCCTGGCACAACTTGCGGCCATTCCCTCTGGTCCTATCACTAGTTACTTGTGAGAAGAGGCCAACCCCCAGCTCCCCACAGCTTTCTTTCGGGTAGCTGTAGAGGGCAATGAGGTCAGCCCTGAGCCTCCTCTTTCCAGACTAAACACCCCCAATGCCCTCAGCTGCACCTCATGGGCCTTGTGTTCCAGACCTAATATATTAACTACTTAGACCAGTTCGCAAAAAAAGCATAAAATGAAAGCATGAATCTAAATGAACACTTTTCAATGAGCAATAACCGGATTATATACAGCACCAAAGAATTTTGAAATAAATCCACAACTCTGGACTTCTGTGCACAGCACTAGTGGCAATGTAGTTGTATACAGTGCTTAGCTACTCATAAAATCTCACCTTAATATGAGAAGTTCTACTGGGCAGCCGATAGTGTTAACATTTACATTTTATTTTAGCAACCATTTAAATAATTAATAAATGGGGATTTTAAGTTGGAAAATTGAATTGTTTTATTTCATCTGTGACAAAAGAAGTACACTCTCCATTACCCAGAACTGCAAGTCTTATTTTTAACAAAGTGAGGAAAAAAGAAGGTTATGTAGTAGTAAAAGCTAAAACTTCAAATACTAATGACACTGAGAGGAGAGACTCAGTTGAGTACAGTCTGAACAGCTCTGAGAGAAAGCAATCCTTGCACCTCCCCTAAAAAAAAAATAAATAAATAAACAAACAAGCACCACTAGTTCATTTCTCCTGAGAAACTTCAGACTAACTTCTGTTAGCAGTGGTTGATTCATTCGATACAATCTTTCTCACCTGCAAACATGTTTAGAGGCTAAATTCAGTATTTACATGTCATAGAATGAGTGCTTTGTTGCCCAGCTGGGAAGGGTGAGCTCCTCCACATTTACACCACTCACAGATAACTTGAGAGCAACCTGTGACAACTTGCACTGCTGTGCTCTGCAATACAGAATTTGCATCTTGTCATTTCAGTGACATTTTCCCTTAGAATCAGTGTCAGACCACATCAACGTGTCACTGTGCAGTCGAGTCTGCAATACATCCATGCACAACTTTTATACGCAGGACTGAAGTAAAAGCACTGCAAGGATATCAATCCTTCAATTCCCGGGCTTTTGACTTGCCTAACGAACTTCTTAACTTGTCAGAGCTTGGCTGCCATACTTCCTTGCTTACACGAATAGCTAAAGAGTTTGTTTTTCCAAAAAACTGTACTCAAAACCCACAACAAGGTATACATCTGTCGCATACCCATTGTCTTGACCAGGGAGTGTTGATTAACACATAGGGCACCCATCTACTAACAGGTATAAAAAGGTTTATTATCAGAGTTGTATTTCCTGATGCATCCTATTAGCAGGACTAAAGGGAGAAAAACTCACTATGGCACTTGAACTGCTTGCTAAGCTTGTAACTTGGCTATAAACAGAGTATTTTGCATAACCAGACAAAAAATTAATACTGAACAAACATTTGGTTGTACCTGCACTGAGTTTCTCACACCCTGCGCTGCATGATTCAGTTATACTGATATGAATTTTAAGAGACTGACAGGTTAAACGCCTTGTGCGTCAACTCTTCCACGGAAACGAAAGAGCAGAGCATGTTAAATGGCAGGGACTAACAGGCATAACTGTTCAAACCAGTCTCCAGGCAAACTGCTCCTCTGCAGAATAAACATCACCTGTGCAAATGCAAACCTTTACTTCATAAGATTTGTTCAGCACTTCCCAGACTGCTAGCACTACACAGAAATCATAACTAAACCAGAATATTCTATTACAACCATCTGAGTCTGAAATGTATCTTACCCACTAGAGGAATTAGAAGATAGTGACCAAGCATTAGCAAGTGTGACCAAGTGTCATCAGTAATGACTCAGAGCAAATGGAATTTTTAATTAGGAGCTGAGCAATTTACCAGTTCAACCAAAATTCTGTTAAAACAAACTTGCTTTAAGTCTGCTTTCTGATGGTCCTCAATTAATAACCTTGTATTGATTTATGAGTTAACTTCTTCCCTAGAAAACTGACATCTCTGACTGACTGCCTAGTTCTACAGGCAGCAGATCTGTAAGACCCATAACTATTTCTCAGTCCAGCTCAGCTGGAATCATCTAGAATATCTGATATCATAACCAAAATTGTTTAAATGTGCCTAGGAATTAAACTAAGGTGAACTATAACAGTAGTTTGGTATTATTATAATTTCAAGTCATCTGACAGAACTCTATTATCAATAAATATTATAGTAAAGAAGCTTTAGCAATGTTTCACTTGCACACTAGCACATACTCACAGAATTAGATATGAACTATGTTTCTAAGTTAAACAGTAATTAGCTCTAATACCAGGATTAGCTGTTTTACCCAAGAGAAAAGGAAGTACCAGTTAAACAGAACACGTATTTACTGCTCTAAGGCATACCTAAGAGCATGGGTGGGGGAAGGGAAGCTACTGAAGGGCTGAACATGTAATTAAATATTCCTCACAGGCAGGATTAATTAGATGCTCCACAGAAAACATCTAGAGAAACTACTAACTTAGCATGTATTAAAGGTATGGCAGGCATTAGCACAAGCCAATTAGAATGGCATTATCAGTACCTTCCTTAAGGACAACTTACAAGCGACTCCTAACACTGAAAAGGAGTTTTAAAGAACAGCAATGAAAGAAGTCCATAGGGGTCTTGTTTGTTTGTTTCATTTGCTCATTTCCTGTCATCTGGTAGAGTTCTCCTTACAAGGGAAGATGGATCAACCTCAGTTAGTATTATGAGCATACATGCAATTCAGAGAAATATTGCTCAGTAATGGAGAAGACAGTACCTCTTAGAGGTGGGATTCTTAAGGTAAACCAGAAATATGTAAGTGCTCTGATGTCTGAAATTATCTTCTCAGCACCATGCACCAGAGACTGTAATGATCTCTTGCCTCTTCAAAATTTGCAAAATAAAGTCAGAAAACAACTCAGCATAAGCTACAGATGAAAATTTTTTTTAGGAAAAAAAAAAGTTTCATTTGCTATTTCTCTCACATCTAATTCTGTAATACAGCAAACAAGAGACAATGCTGTTCAGGTGCTTACCAGGCAAGTCCTGGATGATGGATTCCATTACAATTCAGTATTAAAAAAAAAGTTTTAAAAACATATTTCCATTTAATTATTTAATGATTTTAATAGAGTTATGGAATTCAGTATGTAGACAGCAACCTTAAGAAAATCCACTCCAAAAACTGCATTCCCAAAGATTTGGCAAATGATAATTTCAGAACTGAAGGCTTTGTCAGGCAAGTTATCCAGAGTTATACTGCATCTTGAATTT